CTCAACGTTACGCGCACGACCCTCGAATTACGTCGCCACCCTCGAGTATATCGCGTCACCCTTTTGTATTTCCCCACCTTTCAGGCACTTCCCATTGAAAAATGCATTTATATTAATCATTTCTACATTTTAAAATGTACCCCGCGTTTTTATGCACATATTTCTTTCACCATCTATCTTCCAAAATTGATCAATCGGTCGAATACTCCTTTAGAACGGGAGTCGCTGGCGGAAGTAGTGGAGAACCCGCAGGCTGGATGCGTCCTTTTCGAATTATCGATCCGCGTGACCGCCGATAAGTTCACTGTGTCGAACCAAATTGACGCGATTACGCTACTCCAAAATGATGTAATTAGAAGCGCATCAGTTATTTATTATATAGAGTGAGTTAACACGTTGCTATAATATCTTTTATAATGTTTTATAGTTGAATATGTTAATCTCTTCAAGTAGAATTTACATTTGTATTCAACTTTTATGGGCATATGAGTTATTATTAACAATGTATTAATTTATATTAAATAAAACTTAAAACCCATCAAGAATTATCAACCAAAAACCAAAAGATCACATAAATCTCGAAGCTGTGGACATTTTGCTTGAAATAGTTTCGGATGTGTTGCGTCATAAAATACGCGACTTCCGCGCCTCTAATCTTCTATACACATCTACACGATCGCCGACGATGATGTCACGGGATAATTCTTCATGATGATGCCATGAAAAAGAAATATGTGCACAAGAGCATTTACTAATTCGCGGTGTAGCTATGGGCGTTGTAATGAGCGTTGTAACCCGTAAATTTCGACTGAAGCGCGAATTCGGCGAGACGCATTATGAAATTACATTCTGCGACCTTTGATCGAATCTCGGAAGAACGAGTTGTAAACGCGAGTACACGTGTCAGATTGTTACGTGGGATTCACTGTAGTTCCCGGCTGACGTAAACTTCCGGTGCGCAACTACCTCTACATAGCGCACATTGAGAATGCTCGAATGAGAGGTGGGAAATTAAAGCCACGGATGTGAATGAATATAAAAGGAATGTGTAACAAATTAAACGTTTATGACGTGCTCATTTAATTACAGCAGCTATAATTATAATTTAAATTATTCATTTCAGTGTCGTGTGCAACTCAATCTTTTTAAAAAATATTGTCGGTTTCACTTTTTTCAACTATATTATTTTCCGACGTTTTGAAATGTCAAATAATAAAAAACTGTAGTTAAAAATAATAAAAAAATTATTTCAGATTTATTTTCACCAGTTAAACTTTCAATAAATTAAAATTAACAAAAGGAATGTATTGTACTTGTACATTTCTAATACAAATAATTAATTCGATATTGAAAACTTTAGTACAAAGTAAAAAAAGAAAAAAGCATTTTATATTATATAAACAAAATGTTTCTGTAATAATTATTATATTAAAAAAAAAAAAAATATATATATATAATATATATATA